TCAAAAAAAAAAAAAAAAGAAAGAAAGAAAATTATATTACTATCTGAAAGAAAATGGCTGGGCACGGTGGCGCCCACCTGTAATCCCAGTACTCTAGGAGGCTGAGGAGGGTGGATTGCCTGAGCTCACAGGCTGGAGACCAGCTTGAGCCAGAGGGAGACCTCACCTCTGAAAATAGCTGGGCGTTTTGGCAGGCACTTGTAGTCCCAGCTACTTGGGAGGCTAAGGCAAGAGGATCACTTGAGCCAAAGAGTTGAGGTTGCTGTGAGCTATGATGCCACAGCACTGTACCAAGGGCAACAAGGTGAGGCTCTGTCTCAAATAAATAAATAAATAAAAGTGAGATTGACATCCCAGAAGAATTGACATCCAGAAGAATTAGAATCCTGTCTCAGAGAATCAAGGTTGCTTTTTGGCCAGTTTTTGACCTGGACCAAAACTGTAGTTCCACAGAGTAGCTGCTAGACTCTACTAGTGAATCTTTTTTTGAGACAGTCTCACTCTGTCGCCCTTAGTAGGATGCTGTGATGTCACAGCTCACAGCAACTTCAAACTCTTGGGCTTAAGCAAGTCTCTTCCTTCAGCCTCCTGAGTAGCTAGGACTATAGGCGCCCACCACAATGCCCAGCTATTTTTTTGTTGCAGTTGACACTGCTGTTATAGCTGGCCAGGGCCAGGTGAACCCGCCACCCTCACCTACTGAGCCATAGGCACTGCCCTCTACTAGTGGTTCTTATGCCACTGGTGGGTACAGTGAACCTTTTTTTTTTAAAGTCACATGTCAGTAAAAAGTTCAAACCTGTTTCCTACGAAGACATTAATTTTAACCACCCCTGTGACCTTTGCCTGATTTAGACAGAAAAAATTGTATCGTCCCCACCTGGATTCCTTCTGTACTTGATTATCTAGATTTCAGTCGAGATATCAATCAGACTGATTGAATTTGGCATTTGTTTCAAATACTTGCCTGGCTATTGGCCACAATATTGAGGGCATTCTAGTGACATATCCCAAAAAATTGTACTTAAATTGTGAATGATTAGGATGGCTCCTGTGGCTCAAAGGAGTAGGGCACCGCCAGCCCCATATACCAGAGGTGGCGGGTTCAAACCCAGCCCTGGCAAAAAAAAAAACAAATCTGCAACCCCCCCAAAAAAAACCTGAATGATTAGTCCGTAGGGAGAGGGATGTTCCAAAAATATATCTCTAGCCGCTTACTTTAGCTTGATACCGTGGCTTACCACTCTCACATAAATTTTTTGAGAACCACTGTATCCACAAATTTCAGATACTATTTAACATCCTGGCAGCACCCCTAGCACAGTGGATAGACCATATGCAGTGAGGCTGGCGGTTTCCACCTGGCTGGGCCAGCTAAAACAACAATAATAACTGCCATTTAAAAAAAAAAAATAGAGCAGCACCTGTGGCTCAAAGGAGTAGGGCGCCGGCCCCATATGCCAGACGTGG